TACTGACACTTTTGGAGACTTTATTGAGGCCGTTGGTCAATACGGACCTGGAATGAAGCCTCCTACTTATCATGAAATCAGAGGTCCTTATCTAAATAAAGAAGTGGAGGAGACTAATAAAATTGTGAAGGAACATAAAGTTGCGTGGAACAAGTATGGCTGCTCCATTATGATGGATAAGTGGACGGCAAGAACTGGAAAAATGATTATTAACGTGTTGGTGAATTCTCCCAAGGGAAGTTTGTTTCTTGAGTCCATTGATGCTAGCGACTCATCCACTGACCACATCAAAATGTTCACCTTGTTTCAGAACACCATTGAAAAGACTGGCCCAAGAAAAGTTGTTCAAGTGGTCACTGATAATGCGAGTGAAAATGTGAAAGCGGGTGGCATGGTGGAAGGAGCGTACAAGAATGTCTATTGGACTCCATGTGCGGCTCATTGTATCAACTTAATCTTCGGGGACATTTTCAAGGAAAAACCCTTCTCTACAGTTTTTGGCCAGGGCGTTAGGGTACATTCTTATATTTCTCAGCGGCCCTTGTTATTGAATATGATGAGAAGATTCACCGGACAAAAAAATTTGGTGAAACCGGGCAAGACAAGGTTCGCCACTGCTTTCTTGACTTTACATAGTATCCACTTGCAAAAATCCAATTTGAGAAAGTTGTTCACTTCAGAGGAATGGAGCAAGAGTAAATTTGCAAAGGAAAGTGCAGGGAAAGATGTTGCACGCATTATTCTTTCTTATTCTTTTTGGAATAATGTCCTTCATGCTCTTAAAATTGGTGGCCCTTTGGTTAAAGTACTCCGTTTGGTGGATGGGGAGCAAAAACCACCAATGGGCTACCTCTATGAAGCTATGGATAGGGCCAAGGAGGCTATTCAAGCATCATTCACTGATGAGCAGAAATATGCAAAGGTCTTTCAGATCATTGATGCAAGATGGAGTGAGCAACTTCATAGACCTTTGCATGCAGCTGGACTTATTCTGAACCCGTCACTCTTTTATGATCAGCATGAGAATAATTCATTGGCTAGAGAAGTGTGGACAGGATTCCATGAGGTTGTTATCAAGTTGACCCCAGATGAAGACATGCAAGAAAAGATAGTAGATCAGCTTGCTATTTACAAGGCAGCTGAGGGACTTTTTAAGCTCCGACTTGCTATTAAACAAAGAAAGACGAAATCGCCAGGTGACCAAGTGCTTCTATATTTTATAGCTCTAACTTTAATGTATTTTTTATACTTATTAACTCTTGAATTTTTTTTTTCACTTCTATAGTTGAGTGGTGGGACCAATATGGTGTAGAGACTCCGGATTTACAGACTTTCGCCATCAGAGTTCTAAGTTTAACTTGTAGCTCATCCGGATGTGAAAGGAACTGGAGCGTTTTTGAACACGTGAGAAATAAAAAGAATTATTTCGTGTTTTGAGATAAAGTAAATTATATCTCAATTGTCCCAACTCCTACTAATTAGTTGACATATCTTGTTTGCAGATTCATACAAAGAAGAGGAATCGACTAACCTTGAAGCGCCTCCATAATCTAGTGTTCATAAAATACAATAGAGCATTGAGGCGTCGCTACAACCACCGCAACCTAATTGATCCAATTCTTTTGGACAATATTGATAAGGCTAATGAGTGGCTAACCGGAGTCCCCGAAAATTGTGAAGATGAAGAAGTATTTGAAGGCGATTCTAATTTCACTTGGGGTGATGTTGCGGTTGCTAGTGGAGTTGGGGAGAATCCTTATGGTTTAAGGGGGAATACTTCAAGTTCAAGCTCGATTAGGAAGGGAAAAAGTGTGGCTACTACAAGTCGATCCCTATCCCTAATTGATGAAGATGAAAGTGATCATGAAGAGGAAGAGGAGGGGGAGGAGGAAGATGACGAGCAATATGAAGATAATAGAGGAATTCAAGATTTTGACAATCTTGAAGAAGAACAAGAAGAGTAGAAGAATAAGAGGTTGATTCTAGTAATTTAGTAGCTTTGATTTTGACAATTTGAACTTTTTGATTATTTATAATTTTATATTGTGTCTTTGCAAGGTTTACATTATGTTTTTTAAGAATTGCGCTTCACTTTAATAAAGCGTGCACTTCGCTTTTGAAGCGAGGCGAGCCCTTGTCGCTTTTTTGCGCTTCTCGCTCTTAAAAACACTGCCTAGAACAACAATACACAATCAATAGGCCAGACAGTGTTTCCTTATGTCATTAAGGTATTCTAGGTATGGTTTTCCTTAAAAATAGAGTTACTAAACATATTAGGACATGTATTCAAGTTTCATTACATGCTCTATATTCATGTTAGCATGATAAACAAGACTACTGCTAATAAGACTTCAATCTGTCAAGTATACTAACAAGAGAGGGCATGCATACTACTAATGAAAGACACCAATTAGCTAACAAGATAATGTAAGAATCTGAACGACTAACAACAAAGAACCAGTGGCTAAGCAGAAATGAACATAAGAAACAGGATTCAGTGGTCACCAAGAGGCATTTGTTAGCTAAACAAAACAACATAGGAGACAAACATAAGTATTAACAGGGAATATCAATTAGTTAAGTAGAAATCAACACGAGCGGCAAAACATAATTGAGAGAAACATGATGACTAAATGAATAACATGAGAGAGAGAGAGAGTAGACAGACAATTAAGAGAGAAATATCATATAATCAAATAGAACAACCTGAGAAAAACTATAAAAAATAAACCTGACTAGTTGAAGTAATATTAGAGGTCTACTGACCTTCCTTGGGGCAGAAAACAAAGTAGTTACTCTTAGTCGTTTAAGAACCAGTACTCACCACCAACAGAAACGAAAGAAAGAAAAGATGTTTAGGAAAATTCACTGAATACTTAAAGAAACTTAAAGTGTAGAGCATTTACTGGGGTTTTTTGGTAGTTGTGTGAGTTGGTGAGGGAATTAAATCCCGATATTTATAGCTACGATTGGGGCATTAGGGTTTGCCTTTGAATTTTAAAAATCAGTAGAAGACATAAATTGATGATGAGCACTGATGAAATTGTATGACGAAATCAAATTATAAAATAAGAAATCAGAAGGGGAAACTAGGGTAAGGATTTTACCTATTAAGAAATAATGATCGAACTATCCGTTTGAGGCCAACGGGCCGTTGGACAAAGCTGATATCCAGATGTCCCTTCGTTTGACTTCTGGATCGTCGTATGTCATAATGAGGTAGGCGAATCCATAGAAATCTGGAATGCACGCCATATATTGATGGCAATTTAAACAAAAGAGAGATGAAATGATGAGATTTAGGCTTTTCACATTTGGGTTAGGGTTTCAGGTTTGAGGTTTGAAAATAGGTGATGGAAAGGGGAAATATTCTGCTGGATTCTTGGCTTATTGGGGAGAATAATGAAGTTGCAGTTGTCTCTTAGTGACATTGCACTAATTTGTGCAAGGTTTCATAGATTTACAGGAGTGAGAGTTTGAAGAGGATAAGAGAAGAAAGGGGAAAGGGGGCGGCTGGTGAATAAGAGTGTCTCTAGGGTTTGGGGGGTTTGGTTAGTTTAAAATGGGAGAATGATCCTGGGCCATTGGATCAATTAGATCAACAGCTCAGGTTTTTTTGTCTGTAAAATAAAAGGAAAAATAGTTATGGGGACGAATTAAGAGCTGTTGGATTTTGATCCAACGGTAGAGATAAGGACCAACGAAATTTTAAAAAAGAGTAAAAACGTAAACAATCTGGTTCATTGAGGGATTTGATAAACGGTCCAGATTAATTATATTTGTTTTATGAGGGATTTTGGAGGGGTGACGTGGCGGAATGGGATTGATGGAGATGGGATGACGCGGATTGCCAAAGGGGAATGGGTAGTGTGGGCTTGGCCGGGTCATGGGCATTTTGGGCAAGTGTTTGGGCCAAATTGGTTGGGTATTGAGGTAAAATTGGAATTAACTTCATGGACACTTTAATTAAAACCCATAAATTGCAATTGTAGCCTATTTTAAATATGTCACGACCCAATTCTCACTATAGATCGTGATGGCGCCCAACATCATTGTTAGGCAAGCCAACAGTGAACTATCAACTTAATTATCCATTTTTATTATTTTTGGAATTATGGGTTTTATTAAGTAAAGTAAATTAGGCTTAGAAAAACATGGAGATATAAAGCATTAATAAAAACATAAAATTAAAAGGTGACAATAAAAGATAAATATCATAACCATCTACTAAAAATTTCCAGAACCCAGTATCACAAGTACATGAGCATCTACTAGGGAGTATAATACTAATACAACCTCTGTTTGGAATATACAATAGACAGGATAAAATAACTGAATATGATGGAGACTCTGTGTGATGCAGATCGTATTCATGGAATGCATATCACCATAAAGTTCCCTCCGTAGTTGCGCCTATGCGCCTAGATGACCACCAACAATACATGTCTTAGTACATGCACCTTTGGTGCAGAAGTGTAGCATGAGTACGTAAATCAACGCGAACCCAGTAAGTATCTAGCTTAATCCCTAAGAAGTAGTGACGAGGGGTCGACATCGATACTTGCTAGTGGTCACATAAATCAAGTGTAGTAAAAAGTAGACAAGCAAGAAGAATGGTATGTAAATAGTGAAAACAGATATGGGTACATAATACGATCCCCAACTGAACAGCAAACACAAGGTCCTCAAATACCAGATACTTCCTAAAATGGAATACGTAACGGTCAATACCAAATCAACGATCACGTCTCAAGTTAGGAAAACTCATAATACACTAACTCTTTATCACATACTTTGCCCGATTATGCCGAGGCAAGCGACCCGATCCCATAAGAGGAAAGGCACGAATTCTTGTTGTAGCGTATGGCCCGATCCCAGCTGAGGCGTTTCGCCCAATCCTATAATCGTGTACACTGCCGAGGGTCGACCGGCACAAACCGTAGATGCATCTCATATTACTTCCGAGGAGAACGGCCCGATCCAATAATGATATTGCTAAGGCGTTCAGCCCGATCCCATAGGAATAGTGAAGATTTGACGGGTCATTGGCCCCACTCCCGAATATATGTGCGAGTTGTGAAATTCAGGAAACTTTCACACAAATACGTACAACACGGGAGAAATCCGTAAAAGGAAGTGTAATCTCTACTAATATCAAGTAGCTCACCATATATCACAAATCATAAGTCCGATTATTTACACAAGTCTAGTCTCAGGAAAGAACATAAATTAAAGCAATTAAACAGGCAAGAATCACTAAAATATTGCATTTAAGGTATGATGTGAGTCTAAATCTACCCAGACCTAATTAGGAATTCTTACATACGCACGGACACTCGTCACCTCATACGTGAGTAGCCCCACAACATGTAGCACATAGCAAATATAATACATACGGGATAAATTCCTCCTCAGAAGGTTAGACATGAGACTTACCTCACTCCGAAATTCGATAATCGGCTCCAATGCCTCTCTAACACCTCAAACCGATGCCAAACGATTTGAAACTAATCAAACAATGTGAAAACCAATTAAAATATACTCCAACATCCATAATTTAACAATTAGAAAGAAATTTCCAACTCCTCACGAAAAGTCAACAAAGTCAACCCCCGGGCTCACGCGCTCGTATTTCGAAAATTATCGAAAATAAATATTACCCATAACTTATATAGTATATATCAAGATAATCATCCAAATCAAGGTTTTACCATTTCACAACTTTGGAGCTCAAAACCCAATTTCAACAATCCAAACACGGATAAAAATGATAACCAATGAAAATAATCATGGAAAAACATAAAAATAAAGGTTAGATATTTACCCTCTTGTTGAGACGAGAACAACGCCGTGAACATCACCTCAAACGGAACTCTAGAACCCATGATATGCTCAAAATACTAAAATACTCGGTTTAAAACACTACCCATGTGATTTTTGCTCATCACCTTCACGGGATACTTTTGCGTTCGCGAAGAACAATTTCTCGCATTGACCAGTCAACACAAAATTCCTTCTTCATGTTCATGGGACCTCCCTCGCATTCGCAAATAACAAAAGTTCGCACCAGAAACCAATAATCTTTTCCGATACGGAAATAGGCATAACTTTTTCATACGACCTCGGAATTCGACGATTCTTATTGTTATGGCTTCGTAATTACGATATGAATCTATTGGTTCAATATAATCACAAATAAAATATCGTTTTCTCAATATGGTAACCTTTATGCCAAATGAAAGGATGTTGAAATATCAAATAAGAGCACGACACAATCCAAACCTATCTGAAACTCACCGGAATTTAACCAAAACTTGTGGACAAGTCCAAAATCATCATACAAACCTGTTGAAACTTTTAAATCATGAATCCAAACTCGTTTAGTCCACTATTTGACCGTGGTCAACTCATTTTCTTAAACTTAACTAGTATGCAACTTAAGTGTCTGAATCACTCTTAAACATTCCAGATCATGAACAACCTTCACCCACAAGTTCCAATCAATAAAGTGAAACTATCTAAGGTCCCAAAACACCAATCGGAGTCCGATAACACCAAAGTACACTCTAAGTCAAACTTAGAAAATTTCAAACCTTCAAAATGCAAACTTCCGATAATAAGCATTGAATCGCTCTCGGACCATCCGATACTCAACCCGAACATACGCCCAAGTCCGAAATCACCTTATGAACCTATAGGAACCTTCAAATACTGATTCCGAAGTCGTTTAATCAAAAGTCAAACATTGGTCAACTCTTCCAACTTAAAGCTTTTGAATTGAGAGTTATTCTTCCAAATCAATTCTGAATTTCTAAAAAATCAAATTCGACTACACGTGTAAGTCATAATACATGAAGTGAAGCTACTCAAGGTCTCAAACTGCCGAACGACATGCTAGAGCTCAAAACGACCGGTCAGATCGTTACATTCTCCCCACTTAAACATACGTTCATCCTCGAACGTGCCAAGAATTCCAAAGTTGCCAAAATCACTGCATAACACCTCGTGCACCTACCCGTGCCACCACAATTCATATAAGCATATTAGTTCAACCCCGACTGAAGATTCTTCCTGCCGCCTCAACCTACAAGCCTTAGAACCAAATTCCAACATCCGGAATTCCTTGAAGATCCAATTTTTTTGCATCTATACAGTGTATCAATCTTCACAAGCTATACCAAAACATACATATACACCCGAGTTGTAATCCACACAACACATCACATAATTCAGATGCCCGTAATATACCTCATAGCACATGTAAGCCTTGCTCTAATCCACACAATACTGCAACGATGAAAGAGATGTACAGAATCTCATAACCACCCATCAAAAGAATAACTCATGGAATCTCTCCGTTCAAAAAGAACCATTTCCTCATTCTGAACTGATTAGTGACATTTTCCTTCCAATACACATTATATATATCTGATTGCACTGATTCTAGGTCCCTCAACCTCGTCTCACCCAGTACAAGCTGATCGGGCAATGAGCCACCTCAAACACCGTCTAAAATCTCATACAACGCCATTAATATGCCAACAAGACACAACTCGAATATGACCAATAAGGAAAATTGAACTTAGGTAAAGAACTATCCAACCCGCATAACATATAAAACAACTAGACAAACACTATGAACCTATCTCAGAGATGAGGAACAAGCACACAAAATAAGTAAAATGAACCGTACCCAATAGCTCCATGTTGTAGTGTGTAACCCGATCCACAAATGATACCCATGGCGGCGTGCCACCCTATCCACACATAACAATCAAAAAGGAAATACCCATCAAACCAAAATTCTCATACCCACTAAACACATGTATACCAAGCATAAGCACGCCAAGTGCATAAACATAATCCTGTGGAGACGGATAGCGTCAAGCGCTAAAAAAGTAAAGCACGACTAATTTGCATCAAACAACCAACATCTCGAGAGTCATCTCACTCATATAATACCACAAGCTACACATGATCACAACACACGTATGAATAATGAAGCCGTCTCACAACTCACATGGCATAAGAGAGTAACACATGAAATAGACGGCAACAGGAATAACATCCACTACGCCTGAAGACTCATCCATAAGCAATGCTATATTGAATAAGCATGTCTGATCTGGTGTAGAATACACATTCACATTAGGCCTATCAAGGGGCCTCAAAGCCGATTCTGACCATCCCAAAATAGGTCAACAACCTTCTAGAGATCCACGATAACCCTGTCCATGACACATACGATCAACCGTCAAATCCAGAACAAACTTCCACAATCCGCAACCAAAGGAGTAGAGTGTCAGTCAGACATAAACTCTCCAATTAGTGACAGTTCAGAATCTTTATACCTGATTTTAATCTCTAACACTTAAATTACTAACACGTCACACTTATACGATCACCCCGTCGGAGATACTCCCACAACCTTCCACACCAGGTAGCAAAATCTCCACATCCATGGTTGCCAACCATACTATTTATG